ACAAAAATTGTTTGACACCTAATCTCGCAATTTCCAGTATTCCATCAACCCCCCCCCCTCCCCCCTCGAAAAATGAAAAAAAAAAAAAAAAGAATAAGAAGAATCAACAAATCTACGAGGTTAAGTGAAAGAAGACAAAGAAGACAAGGGGGGGGGGGGGGGGGGTGAAGTAACACATTCAACACCTAATTGCTTTTTTCTAATGCAAAATCAATAGCTTGATTTTTAACCTAGTGAGAGGTTCGACTACAAACTTCTGGAGGTCTTTTTGTAGTTGTGAAAACTTGTTTTTGGTAACTAATTATCGCTGGTACCAGACAACTTGAAGTCTGCATTGTTTACCTAAGGCGCCACGCCACGACATTTCTTAAAGTCTGAAAACATAGCTGAGTGTTACAAATTTAGGTGCAAAACATTGAAAAAATCGGGCTGCACTTTGGCAGCATTAAACGAACAGGATTTGAGAGGACGTGTTCTAATTTTTAAAAAAAACAAAAAAACCATTTGTATAGCGCATATCCCCAGTCAACAGCAGGCTCTATGCGCTTTACACTATATTATTACACTATTGTTCTCTGGCAAAACAAAAGATACGCCAAGTTTGAGCAAATCCGGAAAACTCCATTATTTCCATAATCTTCAGATGAGAGTTGTGGTGAGAATAATATTATAATCTATTAAATTTCCCGTAAAAAGGCTATATATACCCCCTGTATTTATTATGATTAAGATGCGTATAGTTCATACTTATGTTTCAAAAAGAATAAGAAGCCTTTTCTCACCCCCCCCCCTCCCAATGCGTATGGCCTTGGTTCAGATCCCTATTGAAGCATTCTTACTCTCTCTCTGTTGTTTAGGAAGTTTTGAAAGTTCCCCTCCTGCCTGCCTCGGTCCTATTTGACATGAAAGTTAGATATCCCACTTCCCTAATGTTCTTACAGAGTGAAAAAGGGGCAGCGTTACGACATTTTTTAAAGTCTGAAAACATAGCTGTTAGGGGGCATAAAGAAGAATGTGTTATGGGGTGTTCAGGGGCGTTAAACTCATACGACAATTCTTTACCATATGTGCTCTGTAGGCGTTATTCATTTAATACATGTATTATTGATATAATTTATTATCAAATCAGTTGCAGATAGACGGCGTCGAAAGATTTGAATAGCTCTACCCCAGCTCGGGAGAAATCCATTACATCTACAAAGGAGAGAAATCTCACAAGAATAGAAATATCAACGCTGAATCGCTACCACTGTTTTCAATCGATCCGTCTGACCAGTTAGATCAGATTGAACTAATATTACCTGTGCAAGCTATGAACCTGATGGTGGGATTATGTCCCTTGGCAAGTGTCGTGGGCAGATTGCCGAGAGGAAAAGTTGGGGCAGGTGAGAACTCCGTCATTATGAGCAAACACAAAAGACCAAAAATCTGACTTTCAAAAAAAAAAAAAAAAAAAAAAAAGACACACTTAATGATTTAGTTGTGAGATACCTCAAACATTTTCTATCAGTCGTCGCTGCAACTTGCTTACCTCATGTTTGTGTTTGAAGGCTTCAAGCCCCGGGCTTACTTGCTGTGGATTGGAAAGCCAAGAGTGTCATTAGTCCATAGTATGATCAAGTGATTAGTTCAATAAAGGCACACTCCAGGTGATCGTGTTTGGCAGCTCGTACTGGAAATTAAAAGATCAATCGGCAAAAAGTGTTTGCCTCAAGCTAAACAACGACGTTCGTAGTACCTTTTAGTACAAAGTAGAATTATTTTCCTGTGTATAACTTGGGCCCTCTGGCTTGACAAGCTACGTGAACAAAATATGAATGGATAGGAAAGTGCTGTTTGTGTACTCAACATGAAGAGTAATCCAAAGCAATTAATTACCTCTAAATATAGTCATATAAGGGTGGACCCAGTGCAACTTACTTAAAAAGACGGAACGGGTGGAAGACGTGGAAAGATTAGATAGTGTAGATTTTTTTTCTTCTTTTTAATGCATCCGAGGCAAGGAGAGCCATCCTCCCTGATGTCATTCGTAGATCTGGCACTTGAAGATGATGATAATAATTTAGATGTATTGGAAACCATTGCTCTTTTTGACTCCATGTTTAAAGAATACAAATCCCTATGAGCACTTCTGCATGACTTTTTCTATTAAATTTTCTTTTCAGTTATTTCTATGGACCTGATCTGTTCTCCGGAACTTGCAACCTTTTTTTGCCCTGATTCTCAGTAAAGTACAAAAGAACGCCTATTTTTGGATTGCTTTCATCTAATGGACAATAGGGAATATTTCACTACGATCAATCACCAGTTCACCTACCAACTCGGCGATCTATAAAAACACAAACGCTCGTCTAGACATAACCTAATCCCCTTCGGCTACGGGGTTATGCACAAGTCAGGCACCATGACAGTTCGCCCCAGACGCTTTCTGTGTGAATATAAAGAAACAAGACCAGGGAACTTTCCTGCTATCAACAAATATCCTTCTCTGTACATCAATTTCAAGTCCCCCCTTGGCCCTCTTGTTTCCATTATTGTTATTGATATATGGCAGTGGGTGGTTGCGGGTGCTCTGGTGTGGTTTGCTTCTTCTTTCCTATCAAAGATCTATCGTCCTTATCTCCCCTTTTTCTTTTTTATGTTTGTTACTCTCTTGTAACACTTCTAATCTTCTGGCGCTCATATGACCTTATGCAGTTGCGAGTGCCGTGAAACCTCTACTAAAACTAAACTGATATCTGGCGATAAGTGAAAGCTACCCAAAGTATTCGCTACCACAGAATTACCAAGTACTATCTGCTCAGTGCCTTGTTTTGAGAAATTTGACTTAAAGTTTAGAGTTTCACAATATATCACGCTTTTTTTAACGCAGTTCTTTAAATATATTGGATAACGACTCCCAACATTCTAACAATTTTGATAGAGCAGATAGAGAATGTATAATTTAGTTTCGGACCTCATGGTCTTTGCAACTCAAAACGGCCAAAAATGTCAGATAGAAATTTATAATTGTAAGGTAGCGGAGTGCTGAGGTCTAAGGTTATACATGATATAGGTTTAACTCTCTCTCGGTCTCTCTCTCTCTCTCTCTCTCTCTCTCTCTCTCTTGATTTTCAGCCGATATCTCCATTCTTGGATCGTGACAAGTAACTCATTTTGTCAGCACATCGCACATTTGGTTTCGGACCTCATGGTCTTTGCAACTCAAAACGGCCAAAAATGTCAGATAGAAATTTATAATTGTAAGGTAGCGGAGTGCTGAGGTCTAAGGTTATACATGATATAGGTTTAACTCTCTCTCGGTCTCTCTCTCTCTCTCTCTCTCTCTCTCTCTCTCTCTCTCTCTCTCTTCCCCCTCTCTCTCTCTCTTCCTCTCTCTCTCTCTCTATCTCTTCCCCCCCTCT